GGCCTTGATTTAAGCGTGTAAAACCCAAGTGTTCTCAGGTCAGAATAGCAGTCCTTTGTGCCCATCACGGAGGTGCTCTTCACGATACACTAGAATTCATGCGCTGTTAGACTATGCTGAAATAGTCACAGAGAATGCATAGCCTCACATAGGAAGGAGAGACCCCACACCTTATCCTGGAAATGGAAAGGGAGTTGATCCATTGAGTGATCTCCTTATTTCAAAAGATGTGTCGAACAAACATTCTTGAGTAGATACAAACTTAAAGAATGTAATCTATCTCTGTGTACATAGTAATTGTTGAGATGGTGTGTTTCAGCACAATACCAATGCTCATTAAAATAACTAAAAAGGAAACGTTCTCTCTCCACACTTATCAATTCCTGTTCCATGGTCACAAATAGAAATCTCTCTTCTAAGGAGCTGAGAGGAGAAGCGAGCCTTACTTGTTTTCTGAAGAGCATATGTGCATGTTACATGTCTGGTGCTGCAACTAAAAGAAAATTTCAAGATACACGTTATAACATTCATCACTCAATGGCATCTGTTCAACCGTTTAATAACTGTAATGCAATGCAATTGCCGTAGAAAACAAAACAGTCTTTGAGTAAAGGTCATCTAATGCATAAAGGAGTAGCTCAGCTCCATCCGCGTGTGCGCTTCACAAACCGGGAAGCCACAGGGCACCACACCAGGCCCTGTGGTCTGACCTCTCTCCCACTCGACGCACCCCATAAATTGGAACATGCAGTCAGGCATTTCAGAGCAGGGTAGGTGCAAGTTGCCCACGTATTTCTGAAGCAGACTTAAAATAAAAATCCCTTACCAGGAAGTTCCAGTTGACATCAATCTGAGTCACCATGCCAGACAGGAACATGACCAGGAAGAGGAGGGAGCAGAAAAACGCTGTCACAGACACAAACATGACCCATCCTTGTAGCAGAGGGAGAGGCAGGTTGGAGGAGGCCACCAAAATCCAGACAAGTCCTCCAAACACCTGAGAGAAGCGAGACAGAAGTGATGGGTTTGTTTAAAACGTTTGTGCAAAAGCATGCAACGTGCATGTATCATCCACAGTGCAATAGCATGCAACGTGCATGTATCATCCACAGCGCCTCCAGTCTCTCCCCAGATCTCTGCACGTGGTCGGGCACCCTCACCCATCATTTTCCATTTCATCCTCTTTCCTCAGGTGCAACGCCTCTCCCGTTCAGAGCCATGACCTGATTCCATGCCTGCCTCCAAGTAGATTGTCTTCTTCAGGCTATGAACCGATAATCAGTTCTTCTGAATCCCAAACACCTTCCCTCTCACCCCTCCAGCTTCTCTAACTACTATCCTCTCTAGGCAGTTTCCTTCTCATCCAGTCTCTGCGACTAATTAATCCAAATATAGTCTCTACCTGTGTCCTTGATGTTACCCTTCAAACCATTGTAACTGCCTTCTGCCCTCTTCACGTCTCAGTTTATTTACAAAGATCAGCCACCACTTTCTCATGAGTCATATCTGGTGGTCATTCTGTAGTCCTCACATTGGCTGATGTGTCGGGTTTCATAAGGTTGCCTATATTGCGACAATAGCTGTCCTAAGCAACTATGAACATCAAACTCTCCCATCACCTATTGAGTAGCTATGATATCATTGGATTTAGTATTCAACAAATGCCAGTGACAGACCAGCACCGTGCCAAGTCCTGGGAAGCTAAGGATGAAGAGTCTGCTACTTGGTCTCTATCACTGTAGAACTCCTAGTCCATTAGAAGGAAGAGAAACCAACCAATTGATTAAACTGCTGCTGTTGATAATGTGAAAATCAGGCAAGTCTTGCAGGTGCACACAGGAGAACTCTAAAATTCTAAAAATTCAAAAGGCAAGAAACCTATGCCTGATGCATCCACCAAAAGCAGAAGTCAAAGGGGAGAAGTAGAAGAGGGAATCAGTGTCCCGGGCAGGAGAGGAGGGTGGAGATGATATGAGGGAGCTGAGACAGAGCCTGGCAGAGCTGAGAGCAGAGCTCAGTGATGGGAGTACCACGCACCAAGTCGGGTACAAGCTAGAGACTGAGAAGAAATGGCCCTGAAGGTGATGCCAATGACACGCTTCACTTAAAGGGCACTGGAGGCCAGTAGGTGACTTTTCCAATAGTTCCAAAGAATTGAACGGAATCCATGGCAGTGAAGTCAGAGAGAAGGGCAGCGATTCTGCAAGAAAGTTCGAAGCAGATGTTATGGTGGCTGGTGACCGGTCAGATGTGGGACCTGACTCAAAAATTTTACCAAAGTGGAAAATAGCCCAATTTCCAGCTTTGGCACCTTGGAGAGAGAACGCAGGAGGAGCACCCTTGGGAGCATGAGCAGATGAGATCTGTTGATTCAGTGCTATCCACCTGGCTCCTTCTCAGCAGGACACTGTGGTACCAACTCCCCGTCATTTAGTCACTTAAGAAGAACCCTCCACAGTCCAAAGACAGGTCTTTTTACATCTGAGTGCCTTACACATGCTGGGTCTGCAATGTCCTGTTTGGGAAACATTCATAGCTTGCTGTAGATTACTGAGTGCTACTATAACAGAGAACCACAATGGGTGGCTTTACCAAACAGAAGTTCATTTAACAAACAGAAACTCATTTTCTCACATTCAAACCGGGGCGTTGACTCTCGGGGAAGTCTTCTCTCCATGCGCTCTAGAGGAAGGCTCTCATCGCTTCTGAGTTTCTGCTTCCGGATCAACCCCACGTGGCATGGCAACTCTCTTTACTCAGATCTGCTTCTCTCATTTGCTTGTTCAATCTCATATCTCAGAAGAGCCTGAGTCAGGATGTGCCCTATACTATTTCAGTCTCATTCACATAACAAAGACTACTCATTCCAAAATGACATTATAATCATAGGCATAGTGGCCAGAATATACAATGCATATTTGTGTGTGTGCGGTGCGTGCACATGTGTGTGTGTGTGTGGGGGGATACTATTGAATGCATAACAATCCATGCTTTGGCCTCTCAACATTATGTCCTTGCCACATGCAAAACATAGTAATCTGATCATGTCATCTCAGAGTCTTAAATCAACTCCAAGTCCAAATTCTCATCTTCTGAATCATCTAAATCAAATATGGGTGAGACTTGAGGCACAGCCCATCCTGGGGGTAAAATTACATGAAGCTGTCAATTCAAGACTACAAGTCATTTGCTTCCAAAGTTCAATGGTAGAAATGGTACTAGAAGACATTCTACTACGAACAGATGAAATTGGAAGGAAAGAAGAAATAATGCATACCAAGCAAGTCCCCAACCCAGTAGAATAATTTACATAAGCTCTCAAAGGCTGGAAAAAAAAATCCTCTCTTCTCTCAGACCATCCAGGCAACGGTCCTTCCCTCTAGATTCTGGGTGTAAGTCACGGCGCCTAGATTCTAGGTCTCCAGTTCTCAACCTGTGGGTCGCGACCCCTTTGGGGGGTCGAATGACCCTTTCACAGGGGTCGCCCGATTTGTCACAGTAGCAAAATTGCAGTTATGAAATAGCAAGGAAAATAATTTTATGGTTGGGGGTCACCACAACCTGAGGAACTGTATTCAAGGGTCATGGCCTTAGGAAGGTTGAGAACCACTGTGCTGGGTGGTTTAGCTCTGGGCTTTTAGCCCTACCTCCTGTCCCCTCAGCTTTGGAGAGCCATTTTTTCCGAGTCCATCCCCCAAATCATGGTGTTCTTCTGTCCTTGGGCATGGAAGCCCTGCCCCCTCAGCTTTCAGCAGTGGCCCTGCTCCCTGGGCACACCTTAACGGCTGCTTCACACCCCAGGACTGAGTTGGGGACAGAGTAACACTTTGACACCTAGGAGATATTGATGCTGCCCTTTGAGATGCAGGCGACAGTGACCCCACCATTTGGGCCTGAGAAGGTCGGGTTTCCTGTGCTTGAACAGCTGGGTTAACACCCGAGCCGCTCTCTCTCGAGATGGTCTTTCTCATTTCTTGGAAGACAAGTGCAATTTCTTTGATGTATTTCCTGCCTGCAGAATTCAAGGCAGTATGGTAAAGCTGCTCCTTGCCTTCATTCAACTTCCGTAGTAGCCTTTGGGCTAAGCTGACGGGCTTTTTCGTTGATTCGCTCTATCAGTCACAGGCGTGGTCTCTTGAGCACAATGCTGTCAAGTCCCCTCCTGGCTGAAAATCTTGGGATGCATGCCCTTAGTGTATACAACAAATATTTCCAAATCCTTAAAGTTTTGCTTTTATTTTGCATGGTTCATGTTTAAGTCTGTGTCATTCCTCTTGCGTTTTAAGTGGCAAAGAAAAACCAAGCGGCACTTTAATATCTTGCTTAGACGTTTCCACAACCAAAATGATCACTTACAAGTAATACCTTCCATCAAACATTGGACTATAATTCAGACAAATTCTTTGCCGTGGCATAAAAAAGCATCACCTTTCGTTCACTGTCCAATCACATGGTAAATTTTTCTTCTAAAGCCTCACCAGGAGCACTTTTAATGCCCAATTTCTAGCAACATTCTGCGGCTGGCCTCCTCTCTATTCTCTAAGATGATACAGACGGTCACTTAGCTCACTTCCTGCGGAGCCCTCATCACAGCGGCCTTCCATGTCCATAATTCTATCAACAGTCTCTGGAAGGCAGTCTGGGCTCTCACTACTGCTGCTGTTAGTACCAAAGAGGGGATTGCTGCACAGAGTAACCCATGCACAAAAGAACTAAACACTGCCCAGTCCTACGCCATTCTCAAAACTGTTCTCACGTTTGAGCCCCTGGGTGCAGCCACTATGTTATTCTGTCTTATAGCGGGCCTTCCTCTTGTTCACAGTGCCACTGTTTTACCAAACATGATGCCTTTTTCCAGGCACGAGTCTCTCTTGATAATGTGTTCAAAGTACGGAAGAAGAAATCCTGCCATTCTGGTCTCAAGGGCTCATTCTGGTCTGTGCTTTTGGCAGTCCACGGTACTCTCAACACCCTTCTCCAACCCCATCATCCAACTTCTTCTCAGGCTTCCTCACTCCACGTCGAACTTTCCCAGGCATAGGAGGCAAGTGAAAATACTGTGGCTTGGGTCAGGCACACCTTTGTTCTCAATGTACCATCCAAAAGAGTAGCTGCCCTATCATTCATTACTACATGGAAGAAGCCTTTTTGCAGGCATCCTGCATTTTCACTTGAATACCTTTAAACTTACCATTACAATGTTGTAGCTCAAGTTCCAGCTTCAAAGAAAACTGAAGAGTTGAGCCACAAAGTTCCAGGAAACGAGTCTACACTACCTTATCAAGGACTGTGTATGAAATAAGCTTGTTCCTAGTAAAAGGTTCTCTCACACTTTCACGCTGTTTACCTTAATAAATATTTGAAGGTGATAAAGACTGCCTCCAATAAACGAATCTGTCTTCTAAAATTAATCCACAGCCTCTTCTTCCTGATAGCTTTCCTCCCTTACTTTCCTCCGCTAAGTTGTTGTTGGTAGGTGCCACTGAGCTGGTTCTGACCCAGAACAGCCTTATGGCACAACAGAACGAAACACTGCCTGGCCCTGTGTATCTTGCATTAATTTAAACATAACAAAGAAAACATATCACTATTCAGAATCCATAATTCAACAATCATTTACCGAGAGGGTATGTGCAGATAGGTTACTCTTGGTGGATTCTGACTCATGGTCTAAAGGGCAATACAGACCAACAGACCACTGTTTGGAAGCACGGAGATGCACACCCACAGAATCTAAAGCTTGTGATGAATTCACTTCTCTAAAGAATTAAACACAATGTGGAATAGACCCGGGCAGGACCTCAAGTGGGTCACTCCTGTGTCTATTGAAGGTACTGTAGGAGAATACATAAGGGGGGGGGGGGGGGGAGGAGACAGAAACCACTTTCAGGAGCATTAGAGCAAGGGGAAAGAGAACCCTTTAAGTCTGATTCAAGCAGCAGATTGTGGTGGGTGCTATAAAAAGAGCTCAATACAGTATGTTCTGAGAGG